TTCACGGTGTCTTCTATCTCTTCGGTTTATCACGCCTATCTGCGTCCTTCTTTTTTAAAACACACACAGACGTAGTCATGCGTGTGTGTGTGTGTGTGTGTGTGTCTCTGTCTGTCTGTGTGTTTGTGTATGTGTGTGTGTGTGTGCGTGTGTGTGTGTGTGTGTGTGTGTGTGTGTGTGTGTGTGTGTGTGTGTGTGTGTGTGTGTGTGTGTGTGTGTGTGAATGATTTTGAAGATTAACAGATTCAAGGAAGTCAGGTCACCAAGATCAGTGTTGTAACCTCCAAGTATGCTGCTTCCGCACGTACCTAGTTCTAATTTTGTGATGATTAACTTGATTATTGCAGCTGTCTCGCCACACTTCAAGAAATGGAAAATATATATCATAACAACTCGTACAGTAAATATAATTGAAGTAGGAGAAGTGACTGACGAATGAATAATATAAAAAATCTCTGAAAAGGCATACATGAAATAGCTTCTTGCCTAAAAGTAAAGAAACAGTTTCTCTCAACGATGCTCCATGAGATCACAATAAAATAAATCACATTATGACGTTAAAACTCCCTGGGAAGCATTCCATTATCTTAAAAAAAGGACTAGTCACGTATCCCAATTGAAAAAATAATGATCCACGGAATTCAATTCAAATAAAGAGGTGCGACGTAACACTCATTGCATAAAACACTGATTTTTCTATTCAATAGCATTACTAATACTTAATTTGAATGGTCCCAAACAGTTAACGGACTCTCCTCTTGTAGTAAATGCGTTTTCATGCTACTTTAACACTCACTTGCCTTTCGTGACACCTTAACCCTCTTTCCAACTTCTTGATATCGTTAATATGGATCTGGATATGTTTTAGGCTTGTAATGTGAAACACAAATTGCATTAGGCGCAAACGCATTTACATATATATATATGTGTGTGTGTGTGTGTGTGTGTGTGTGTGTGTGTGTGTGTGTGTGTGTGTGTGTGTGTGTGTGTGTATGTAAATATGTATATATATACATTTATACATATAAATATACATATATATATACATATATATATATATATATATATATATATATATATATATATATATATATATATATATATATACATATATATATATATATATATATACATATATATATATATATATATACATATATATATACATATATACATATATATATACATATATATATATATATATATATATATATATATATATATACATATATATATATATATATACATATATATATATATATATATATATATATATATATATATATATATATATATATATATATAGTGAAGACTTCCTGCCATGGTTCCAGGCATGGCAGGAACCATGGCATATATATATATTTGCCGAACATATATATATATATATATATATATATATATATATATATATATATATATATGCATATGCATATGTATGAATGTGTTTGCATGTGTGCGTGCGTATATGCAGTATATTCTGAACTGCACGCACCCTTACCTTAACGGGATCAAAGTCTTCCATGAGCGTCACATTGGCGCAGCCTCCGAGCTCCAGGAACTCCGGGATGCCGAACAGCCCCTCGGCCACCGCTACGACGCCCGCGACCACGACGGCGTAAGGGAGCGACGCCCCTCGCATGGTCGGGCCTCACAAAACCACAGGGGGCTCGGAGGGAGAACAGAAGAGGAAATATAAATGACAGAGAAGGAGTAGGAAGATGAGGAAGAACAAGAATAAAGAGAGGAAAACGACAAAGACGAACGAGGATAAAAAATGAACAAGACGAAAGCGATGGAAAAAACAACGAAAGCGAGTCCAAGAAAGAGGAGACAAGTAAAAGAGAAAGATAAACAACAGGATCAAGAGAAGTAAACCGAGGAACGAGAAAAGGAAGGCGAGGAATAAAAAGAGGAAGAAGAGAAGGCGACTGTGGTGTCCGAGCTGACGAGAATGGTGGTGGTGATGGCGCGACGGAGGGAGACGGTCGAGTGATGAGTTCCTTCTCGCCCAGGAGTGAGCGAGGGAGGCACGGGCCAGGGGGAAAGGGGAGGGGGAGGGGGGGGGAAGGGAGAGAAGTGGCCAGAGAGGGAGCGAAAGAGAGATAGTCAAATAGGCAAGGACAGAGAAGTAGAAAGAGAGAGAGAGAGAGAGAGTGAGAAAGAGAGACAGGCAGTGTAGTCAAACAAACAGACAGAAACATAGAAATAGAAAAAGAAAAAGATAGATAGAGAGGGAGAGAGGAAGAAGGAAAAGGAGAGGGAAAAGTACAGAGGGAAGAAGCACATAGACATGCCACAGAGTCACATAGCAAAATACGAACAGTAGGAATGAGTCTATTCTCGCGTTCAACGAGATTACCGTAAAACCAACATGTTTATAGTGTTTATCTAAATCAGCACACACCATGCGGGCAAGATCAGAGGGTCGCGCGAGTGTTCTAAATCCTAACCAATCAGAGATACCGTACGTGCTATGCGAGGAAACGTGGAAATGGTTTCTAAGTCTCAGATATTAATGAGCATCGACATATTTCAAGCGCACGGACTGCATGGTTCTTAAGTCGAATAGAAATTTCACGTAAGGCCTCTCAGTTGTATAAGACTCATAACACTCATTCTGCATTCGTTTCGTATGTTTCACGGAGGAAAAGATAATCGTAAATTTATTGCCCTTCGTATTAATTAGCATTCCACGAAACTGAGATAAGGTGTGGCCACGGCGCATTCAATTTGGCCTAGATTTACCACTGCCTGTCACTCATTTGCCATGCCTTGTACGTTACATATTCAGATATACAGACATGCATATATATATATATGTATACATACATACAGACATATATATATATATATACATATACATATATATGTGTGTGTGTGTGTGTGTGTGTGTGTGTGTGTGTGTGTGTGTGTGTGTGTGTGTGTGTGTGTGTGTGTGTGTGTGTGTGTGCGCGTGTGTGTGTGTGTGTGTGTGTACATGCATATATATATATATATATATATATATATATATATATATATATATATATATATATATATATATATATATATATATATATATATATATATATATATATATATATACATATATATATATATATATATATACATATATATATATATATATATATACACACACACACGCACGCACACACTCTGTTAATGTAAACGCGATTTGTTTGTTCTGACTTCCCTGCGTATATACTGCAAGGCGTGAAAACGACATATAGAATTTCGTATTTTAATTTGCGAGTTTCTTGTGGCTACATCCTCCTTCCCCGCTTTTTCGTTTTTGCACTTTTACTTCTTGATTTTTATTTACTTTTTTAAGCTTTTTTTTTTTACTGTTTGACTTTTTCACTTTTTTAATTTTTTTTATAATTCTTTTTTTTTTTGGCCTTTTTTACGTTTTTATTTTGTGACTCTCTTACTCTTTTTGTCTTTGTTTATTTATTCGTTTATTTACTTTTTCTTTTGTCTTTTATTCTATTACTGTTTCGTTCATTTATTTTACTTTTATATACTTTTACTTTTTCACGTTTGAACTTTTTTATTTATTTATTTTTTTAATTATTATTTTTTTTTCTTACTTTTCATTTGTTATTCTTTTCTTCTTTTGATTTTTCTCCTTTCTACCCTTTTACATTTTCACTCTTTTTTTCTTTCACGTTTTTTTACTCGTTAATGTTTTTACTCTTTACTCTTATAATCTTTGATTATTTTATTATTCACTCTTTTATTATCTATGTGTTATTTTTTATGTATTTACTCTAACTCTTACATCTAACATGTATTATTCAATTCCTCAGTATTTCATTATCCAACTGTGTTACTTTTTACATTTTTTTCTTTTTCATTAATATTTCTTTGACTGTTTCACTTTTTTTTAACTCTTTACGCTTCTACTAATTTAGTCTTTTTTTTATTTTATTTTATTTTTGCTATTATACTTTTTATTCTCCCACAGGATACACCCATCAAAGGTATGAATTTTAATACCAAAGATTGAATTGAACAGAATGCATATTTATTCCACTTGTTAGTTTTTTTTTTTTTTTTTTTTTTTTTTTTTTTTTTTTTTTTTTTTTTTTTTTTTTTTTTTTTTTTTTTTTTTTTTTTTTTTTTTTTTTTTTTTTTTTTTTTTTTTTTTTTTTTTTTTTTCTTTTTCATTAATATTTCTTTGACTGTTTCACTTTTTTTTAACTCTTTACGCTTCTACTAATTTAGTCTTTTTTTTCTTTTATCTTCTTTTTGCTATTATACTTTTTATTCTCCCACAGGATACACCCATCAAAGGTATGAATTTTAATACCAGAGAGTAAATTGAACAGAATGCATATTTATTCCACTTGTTACAATGATCATTCTAATGTTTGGTGTATCAGTTTCTTTTTGTTTCTAAATTACCCCTGTGTGCAAGGAATAGCCGGGGTAACTACCCAGTGGCAGTGTTGGATTGTTAAACGAGAAAACTACCACAGCACCACGCAACACATAACCCGATACAGGTTTATTATACTTGGAAATATGTGTATTCTCTGTGGCCCGGTAGTGAGTATACATAAACAAAAAAACAACAACAAAAAAACAGAGCCAAGTGGGTGGTTTCGAATTCCTGAGAAATGTTTACTGAAATGCACTGCTTGCTACCTTTCTCGCACGCTGAATGGTTGCTTGGTATGACGTCACTGCATACTTCATTTTACTTATGAAAGGTAGAGATATTATTGATATTATTATTGTCGGTGGGGGTGGTCTGAGTTATGTTGCTATTATAATAGCTTTGTTGTTTCTATATCTTAAGAGCTAATTTTGTGGTATGTTGGGTCAATGTAATAATAATGATGATGACAAAATATGTGAGTTTTATAAGAGGTATGTGGCATCTGCTCTCCAATGACTGGTTAGGGCATCAGTCATGACATTTTCTTTTCCTGGTATTAAGTTTAAGTACTGACGAATACCAGTAATTATCTTCCTTTACTACTGATTAGAAACGGAACGAGATATAAATAAATCTGAAAACGTAACTCTCCGCTATGATACTGTCAACACACGCACCAAAAACGAAAGAGATTTGTCACGGAACCAAGGGATGGGATACGACTTTCTGACAGGCATCCGAAGAGACAAAAATATAATTCGAGAATAGCATCAGATATATCGCAGGATAAAAGCATTTTCGGAGCGATAAGAAGGGGAAGAAAAGGAGATAAGCAAAGGAAGAGTTGAAGAAAGTTAAGAAAAGGCCCAGCGACCGTATAAATAATATAGGACATAATGAATGATTAATTTTATTCCACTTGTTACAATGATCATTCTAATGTTTGGTGTATCAGTTTCTTTTTGTTTCTAAATTACCCCCGTGTGCAAGGAATGGCCGGTGACTACCCAGTGGCAGTGTTGGATTGTTAAACGAGAAAACTACCACAGCACCACGCAACACATAACCCGATACAGGTTGATTATACTTGGAAATATGTGTATTCTCTTTAAACCACTTTTTTTCCCTCTTTTCACAGGGTAAATACCAGTAGTCGAAGGGTTAGGATACTTCGTGTGTGTTTTCCTAATTGCGAGGGTTGGGAACCAGCTATTGTAAATACCTGGATCCTGCTGTACCTAACGTTTCAGTGTGTACGTGTGTGTGTGTGTGTGTGTGTGTGTGTGTGTGTGTGTGTGTGTGTGTGTGTGTGTGTGTGTGTGTGTGTGTGTGTGTGTGTGTGTGTGTGTGTGTGTGTGTGTGTTGAAACCCCCGAGGACTCTCTAGTCTATGAATATGCGCGGGTGTGATAGGAATCAGTCCAAAAGATTAGAAATTATAAGAACGGCTGAGAGAAGACGGCTAGCTCTTGTTTGGCAATGACGTGGTGCTTCTGACTGACTCTGAAAGCTACGCGATTAGTTAGCAATTTTGTTAGAATGCATGAAGTTGCGTGCATGGATGAAAGTAATATAGAAGAAAAAAAAATGTTATATGGAAAGGCATATAGAGAGGCGTGGATTATTTTAGTAGTTGGAGTATCATGTGTCAAGATATAAAAGTCTGGAGGATGAAAAAAAGAGAAACAGGAAAGGTTCTCCACGAAATGAAAAATATAAAGCACTGAGTGCGACGGCAGAGAGAGTGAGAGAGACGCACACACACACACACACACAGAAAGAGAGAGAGGGGGTGGGGAGAAAGAGAGAGAGAGAGAGAGAGAGAGAGAGAGAGAGAGAGAGAGAGAGAGAGAGAGAGAGAGACCATGCAGCAGAAAGAGACGTGCAGTAGAAACGTGAGATATGAGAATTGCAGAAACACGCCTGCGAGGACGTGTCTGAAAGAATGATATGTAAGAGACGAGATTTAAAATCAAATATGTACGAGTTAAAATGAGAGTTGAGAGAGTTGAGTAGTTGTGTGTTGAAATAGAGCAAGAGATGTGATACAACCAGATGTGACAGGCAGAAAAGAAAATGGCTGAGCGGTGAGAGGAGGCCTGGCAGCCCCTGATACGGAAGGAAGGAAGGGATAAAGGAAATAACGAAGGAAGGAAGGAAGGAGACGAAGACAGAAAGTACAAAGGAATGTCAGTTTGATGATGCGACCGAAGGGGATATATACTTCATCCTTTCCATTTTTTTCACTGGTTACACGGAGGGAGAGGACAGGTCTTCTGACGTAAATAAATTCAGTATTTCAGTCCCGTAGGTGCTGAAATAACTACGTGTTGGCGTGAAGGATTCGAGAAGGGAAAAGGATGAACACAGCCCATACATATTTAAATGGTTATATGTATATATAGGTAGATCAATTAACATAAATGAGATCGTGTTAGAAACATGTATTGTTTATAATTCACCTTATAAGGGTGTGATTATTCACTTGAATCCTGTCGCATCAGGGAGTGAGGTTATTAATTAATCAAGTCCTGGAAGTTATTAATGATTTCAATGATCCTGTCTAGTTTTGTTGGTTTAAAAGGGAAAGAGCTAAGGA